GCTAGCAACAGCCCTGCAGCTACTGGAGCCGGCTGTTGCTTCTCCCGGGTGCCCCCAGGGGCGGGCAAACCCCCCACACATCCTGGGTGAAGCATGGTGGCAGCAGGCGGGTTGGAAGTACAAGCGCACCTCAGACCCGAGCAGTGTTGACAGGTTTTAAATAAGAAGTTATAGTATTGGAAGCTCGAAATGACCGTATTTACTGAAAAATTACTGTGCACTGAAAAAAGATATGCGAATAAGTATGCAAATGTGTCTTATTTACTTTGTATTGCTCACTGTAACACTCAGTGAGAGAGTGGGGACTGGCCCATCAAAGCTGAAGCATTTCTTTAGGTTGAGGCAAGCAGTCATGAGTGCTGATAGCAAAGCCAGAAGGCTGTTAAGACACCCTGAAAATGAACTGGGTTTTGCATATGCTGCATCAATTAGCTGCCTCAAAAAGTACTGTATGTTTTGAGCACTTTTACTATTATTGATTGTACAGTAGACAGGGGTTGAAATGATCATATAAAGCAAGATGGGCAAGGCGGAGCTAGATTGGGCATCTGAAATTTGACCAGCAAGTAGCTAGGCCCTGCCCTCCACCCCAACCCTGCCTGTTATTCTGAAGACTTAAATTCCCATCGCCACCTTGTTTTTTGAACATTAAAAAAGACAGTGCAGCCTCAAGGCTGAGCACTCCCCAGCCACAGCCTTTATTTTGATAATTATCATACACCTGGCAGTACTGGACCCAAGCCCCACCCTGCCCGCTCCTGTGAAACCTTGAGCAAGGCATGAATTTTCATAGGCCAGAACCGACTTTGTGGCATGCAAGGAGTCATTTCCTTCCTTTGCCACTTGGCTGTGAAGCCCCCAAAGGCTGCAGAGAGGCAGGCAGCTGTGGGAGGCCCGTCCCAGTCCAGCAGGGGCACCTTTACTGACTGAAACACAGGACTCAGTAACACAGCGATAGCAGCAGCGTCTCTTGCTTACACCTGCCATTTGTGTTTGGAGACCCAGGAAGTGGCCTGTGACAAGTGGACATTTCCATTAAAGTAATCATTTCTAAAATGCCATGCTCAGGAAGCTGAATAGTAAATCTCAAGGCTGCTTTATTCAGATGTATCTGCTCAGTGAGTGCTTGCATCCTGGTTAAAGCAGGAAAGAAAATCTCTTTACAAAAATGGCTCATACATATTCCCCCTCCCCTTCCTTGTTCTTTCGACAGCTCTATTCTCCCCTCTCCAGACAATAAGGCATACACTGACCTTTCTGTTATTATTAGGGGTCTACTTAAATTGCAGTTTCACAGATTTCACAGAAACCATGAAATCTGGGACTGTCCACAAAGTCAGCAACAAAACATTATGCTGGCTCCCCAGTGGTTAGTGGTCCTCCCTGCTGCTGCAGTCCAGACTTACAGCCAAGTGGAGGGAAAGGCACCAGGTGGCAGGGCTGAGTGAAGTACAGCAGAAAAGATGGCCACCACTCCCTTCCCCTCCCCGGGCCTCTCCTCTGATTGGCGCCGAGGGGCAGGGCTGCATGAAGGGCAGACAGCAGTCAAGATGGTGGCTGCTGTGTTCCTTGCTTACCCCCTGGGCGCCTCTGCCAATCAGTGGCAAGGGGCTGGGCTGCCAGGATACGCCCATGAAATAAGTTCTTCATGCCAAGACCAAGCCATGAAAATTTCTGTCTCTTATCATGAGTTAAGCAGACCCCAGCTATTGTGCACCAGCTACACTAAGTTCTGTACAAAATTTGAAAGTAGTTTTTGGCCTCTACTCAAACATTTATCCTCAAACATGTCTTAAGTCAGTGGTCAGCAACATGGGCTGTGAGCCACAATGACCCAGCTCAGGTCAGAGGCAGGAAGGGAGATGCTAGGACCCAGCCACTACTACTGCTTATCCCTGTGGTGGCATAGGGACAGTTCCTGCTGCCAAATACTGAAACCCCACATCCACAAATTGGACCAAAAGGCTCCATGGACCAGATCTGGCTTGTAGGTTGCTGACCTCAACCTTAGATTGAGCAGTGAATGGCTGTGAATACTATGTTATATCAAACTGCATGATTACAGATGCAAGATGATACAGATGATACAAAAGATGTAAAATGGCCTTACTTTTCTAACATGTTATGTATGTAGTATATAGAGCTCGCTTTTGATTTCCTTCCATGAAATAAGTCGCAGACAACTTTTGCTTTCCGTATAAAATTCTTATCTAGAGAAATTGATTGCATCATTGTTTTTCTAGGTCCGTACGCTAAGCTGCTTCTTGATGCTATGAAGCAGTCTGGCTGGTAAGTTAACCTCTAACCAATGCTATCTCATATACGGACTTATAGGGATTTCTTAGTCCTTCTTTAAATCTCACTTCTTGCTTTTTGGCCTTCCAGCATTGCTTTCAAAGATCGGCACTTTGCATGTGAGACCTGTGATGGGCTTGCCGTTGGAGGCTTTGATGCTGCTACCTCACAGGTGGGCACTGAATTTTGTGTCTAAGTGGGACTGTCCAACTTTGAAGCAACCAAGGGCCACGCAAATGCAAGCCATGGGCCCCCTGGCCTGCACATGACATGGGTGTTCCGCCCCCACCTTGCTGCCCATGCTTCAGCCTCAACCTCAGCTCTGGGCTCCCCCACTGCAGCATGCCACCTAGGCCACAAGCTTTCCCTGCATGACAGGCTGTTCCATTCTACTGTGTGTCCCTGAGGGGGGTATCAGCCAGATGGAAGCAAAAGGGCCACAAATTAACCTCTTACAGGTGACATGTGGCCCATGGGCTGCCAGTTGGAAAGTCCTGTGTCAAAGCATTTGAAAGTCTTAGGACTTTACTATTAATTAAAAAAGAAAAATTAAAAAGAAAATACCATTATAATCAAAAGCAGATATTGATGATCTTAAGTCCACAAAGAAAGGTCATTTTAAAATCTGGACAGTGTAACATTTATAGTACATATAGTCATGTGAACTATAGAGGTACTAGCATGGAACAGACTGGAATGGCAACTGCTGAACAAAGATTTTGAACATCCTCAAGGTTCTTGATAAGAGAGGTGACTTATTCTGGATCTTTGAGAGATTAGAAGAAGTGGAAATCTAATAGGACTATTTAGCTAGGACACCAAATACCTACATTTTTCAGTGACAAGTCCTTTAACTTATTTCCTATGTTTACTCTACAGATTGTTTTGTGTCAGAACAGTATTCACCGTCAGTCTCTTATGAACCGAGTGGTTACACATGAACTGATTCATGCTTTTGATCACTGTCGTGCCCATGTTAATTGGTTAAGCAATGTGAAACATCTAGCCTGTTCAGAGGTAAGTAAAAGAACATGGTATATAGGAGTAAACCTTGAACCATTGGTTTAATGGTTTAATAACCATTAAAATTAACATACTAACAGAAAATGATTTGTGTGTAACAGGGTGGGTTCAATTTAAATCAAATCTATTTAAATCATGATTTAAATCACTGGTCAGGAAGCCTCAATTTAATCACTGTTTTCTACAAAAAGTGCATTGTTGTTATTTGATGTCCTTTATTCATTTGACTTTTTGAAACTTCACACTTTTAGAGAAAGGTAAGGGCTTGACTGTGTGTACACAAACTTGTAGAGAGACAATAGGGCTAATGGATGGGTAAACAGATCTGTCATCTGACATCTCTATACTGCTGTTAACAAAGATGTTATGTCTGGAGACAACAAACTCTCCCTTTGCCTGAAGAAGGGTGTTTGTGCCTGAAAGCTTGTAAAGAACAAATTTTCCAACTATTTGAGTAAATGATTAAAATAATCATTTATCCAAAGAACCTTGTCTGTCTGATCTATGGAGATACAAATCCACAGTTTGAGAACTGAAACTAAGGAGCACAAAGATGCTTAATAGGATCTTCTAGAGTAGAGTGAGCACTGCGTCCCATTGGGTAGAGTGGTTTTCTTTAATCTTTACTAATCTATAGAGGAGCTTCTGGAAACCGCATAAGATTGGGCTCCTACTATAGTCCATGGCCTGTTGTGACCTATTTATAAAACTTCTGAAAAAGGTTACATAAATATATTGTCTCAAATAGCTTATAATTAGAAGTTATAATTCCTATTCCATGATGATATCTTTGAGCTTTAACAGATCTTAAATTAAAACTATCTTTACATAAGTTTATTTTTTTTAAAGCTTTTGAACAAAAAAATACGATTAAATAAAAAAAGTCTGATTTAAATAAAAAAATCCAATTTGTTTTATTTTTAAAAAATCGTTGATTTGTATCCGTCCTGATATGTAACCAAGCATACAACCATTTAAACTCTATTCTGTATTCATTTTAATCCTGTCTGCGTTTACTTTCCTTTGGTTTAGTCTATAGTAACTTGTACTTTTTAATTATTATGTGTCATCATGGGGCTCCCTTTTTAGTTCAACAAATGTTTTCCTTTATTCACAGCTATATATATTCATTTTCTTTTAGGAGAAAACCATTTTTTCTGCATGTGGTTTCAAATAATCTAATTTCTTTGCTGTCTCTCAATCGAGGACTTATGCTCAAGCCAGAAAGCTTAAAAATTGGGTATAAGGAAAAAGGAAAAGTGAAGGGCAAGGGAAAAAGAACTGTGAGAAGAGACAGAGAGATCAATTCAAGTGTATTTTTCTCTACAGCAGATGTGTTCTTGTTTCTTTGGGTAATACAGCAGGTGGTTCTTTGAATACCTATTTGCTTTCTCTGCTCTTTCATCAGCCCTCATGCAGATGACAATAGAAACATTTTGCCAAGTTTTCAGGTTCAACTGTAGGTCCCAAATGCTCTTCAGTATTCTTTCATTTTACGTGCAGAAATGTGTAACTTGGCTCTTTGGAACCACAAGCAGATATATCTTCCTGAACAATGTAAAGCAGGGGTTGGCAACCTACAGCCCACTGGTCAGATGCAGCCCACAGAACATTGGATCCGGCCTGCAGATGTGTGGCTTTAGTGGCAGGAGTGGAGGGGACTTTGGCTGCGGGCAGTCTCCTTGTGCTGCTGTGGGAACAATTGCCCACCCGCTACTGACCTGTAGTGGGTCATTCCACCTCACACCTACAAAAGGTTGCCCCTTCTTCCATGTAAAGTCTTTTGCTGAGGGGGCAAGAATATGGGGAACTACAAAACAAGATGGGCAAAAATAGAACAAAAAAGGAGAGGAAAAATGGAGGCAAAAAAAAAGATGGAGAGTGAAGTCAGGAAAAAGATGACACCAGCTATTCATCAGTATTGGCATAAGAGTGATTCTCAGCCTGGATGCCACAGCACTCTGAGCTGTCTTGAGATTCTTTCAGAGGTGCTGCACAATACTAGCATTGTTAAATGTTCAGGCATGATTCACAAGATTAACTCAGTGATTCCAAGTAGCAGTTCATATTGTTAAAAAAACCTGTAGTGACGTTTCTGAGTTCTTTGAAACAATTTTCAAGAAATGAGTGAAAACTAAAAGCGGCATTTTCCAAAGGGTTCCTTGAATCTAAAGAGTGTGGGGTCGTGCATTGAGGCTAAAAAGGTTGAGACCCACTGGTATATGGAAACAGAATCCACCTACGCATTCTTCACTATCCATCATGATAGAGGACTTCAACAGAAAAGTGTTGGAAACTACTTCGGTATGCTACACTTAAATTTGTAACACTGAGTTTTCCATTTATTTTCTTTGCTTTTGTGTTTCTGTACTAGATTCGAGCTGCTAACCTCAGTGGAGATTGCTCACTAATGAATGAAATAGCCAGATTTAAATTTGGATTAAAAGGGCATCATCAGGTAAAGAAACTGCATTGTAAATAGTACTAATTTATATTAAAGATCAGTAACGATCCAATAGGCTGCTACACCACAGATCAACTCTCAGTGAATGCCCAGCCAAAACGTTACCACTGAAATGTGTAGATGACTAGCAATCATTTTGAGCCTTTGTATAAATTTATATTGACCTACCACACCCTGAGGCCCAGTCCTCCTGTTCTCTGTCTTTTCTAGTGTGCGCTCAACTCACTCTCTCTCCTACATTGTCATTTCACCAGTTCTTCATATTTCCCAGCTTTCCCTGGTGTCTCTGTTCAAGGTTTCCTGTATTCAAAATTATGATCATATACTTTATTTTAAAATCTTTGATTTACGAATTGATGGATGCATAGCAGAACCAAAAAAAAAAAAAGTTAGACCTAGCCACAATACTTTTGTAAATTGTTACCTGTAACTTGTTGTTTGTTATTTTGTAATTTGTTCTTGCATTACAATTATAAGGGCTTTTTATTATTATTATTCCATTTTTCTCAGACCTGTGTACGAGACAGAGCTGTTCGTTCCATTTTGGCTGTTAGGAAAGTCAGCAAAGAAACAGCAGAAAAAGCCGTGGATGAAGTTTTTGACACCTGTTTCAATGATCAGGAACCATTTGGAAGAATACCACACAATAAAAAAGACGCAAAATATGCTCACAAGGATTTTCAGAACAGAGACCAATATTATGCAAATATTTAAAAGACTGTTAATCTCTAGGTTGTAATACTGAAAATGGAACGCAGGCATCTTGTGCTGATGGAGGGGGAAAATAAAATTACTCACGACTTTGTATCGTCTCCTTGCCCAAGAGCCAAGTTTCACTGGTGTTTGAGAGATGATCAGAGCTGTGAACCATGGATTTCCTCATCTAGTTTTTGGTGTTTCAGTATTTCAAAAGACTTAACAGGAATTTTTAAACTACACATTTTGGTGCATATGTAAGTTTGCTTTGGACCAACCAAGAATTCATTTTCAAAATGTTTGTCTTATGCCATTACTGAATAAACTGATATCTTAAAGCCTTTAGAGTTTTACAGTTTGTACTTGTGCACATAAAAATTTGAGTCATGTGCATTTCTTTTCTAAAGTGACTATCCTAAATCAGATTCTTGAATCCACATGTGAACATGTAAGAATAAGTCCACAAAAGAACTTAGGTATTAGGCATCCAGCATCTAAATGCCACTGAGCAGAGGCATTAGCAAGCTCATTCAGTACCTGGGAAGTCTTGCCTGCCTAGGCTCTCTGCACAGGTAAGGCAACTGGTACTGCTACAGCAGTGGCAGCAACACCTGTTTGCCTTATGCAGAGAGCCTGTGTGGCAGCAGTAGAGAGAAAGTTTGGCAGAGGAGGAGACTCCAACTCACATCTCTTATCCTTTTGATTTGAAGTAGGGATTTGAACCTAGAATTTTCTAACCACCATGCTGTGTTCTGGTATGATTCTTTCTGCCTCTGAGGACCTTCACAAGAACCCTAGTGTAGAGCTCTAGGAAAATTTCATAGTTGTGAATAGAAATCTTCCTTATATCCTGAAGTTTGGCCATTTACCTTATAGACATAAGCTTTAGGCCCATCTGTTAGTAGATAGCACCTTATAGACACAAGTTTTAGGTCCACTGTCCACCAGACAGCGCTAAGGGATCATTAAAGCACAATTAACCCTTAAGTGGGAGTGAAATATGAAAACAAAACCGCTTTATCTATACAACAAATATTATCTCAGCAGTGTCTATATACGGAGAAAAAAACCATTTAGTTCAATGATCTCACCCAATTTCCAGGTGCTAACTTTGCACAATAGAAAAGGTGGGCAATCAGTTCCTGAAAGCAGAGGATGTGACAGTGGAAAGTCTTTATGGCAAAATCCAGACAGGTGTTGAAGGCTGGATTTATGATGGCGCACACCTTTCTTGCTGTTTCCTTTTATGTTTTTCTTCAACTTCACGCCTCTGATGACTCTCTGCTTCTGGATATCGTTGATTGGTTTTCCTGCAGTTAGCGTACTGTCCATATTTTATCCTGTCAGCATATTCCTTTGTTCTGACCCATTACAAGCACACCTCCTAATTTGGTCCTTTGCTGGTGTCTTAACCTGAGCATTCAGCCGGTTAGTGCCAAGTTCAGTTATTTTGAGCAGGTAACAAGGCTATTACTATGTTATGTTAGAAAAAACTTCTCACAGTGATAAAAAAGGATAGAACAGATGAGCAAGCTCAAGGTTATGAGCTGCCTATGAGAACAGCTCATGGTCAGCTGATAATACATGCACAAGTAAAATGAAAAGTTCAAAGAATAATGAGGTTATACATAAATGTAAGCAACGGTTAAATAAGGCTGAATATAAAAGAAAAGTTAAAAAATACTATAATTCACCACTCAGGCAGGTGGAACCTTAAGCATAAGTGTGACAAGCTACCCTAACACATCTACTTGGCATTTCCTACTGGTTACCTTTGGTGGCTCCCTGCTTAGCTTTCTGGTGTCTATAAATCCTGTTCTTCAGTGCATACATTTCTGCATGCATTGTATATCAAGTCTCAGCACTTCAACTAGGGAATCCAGAAGGTGGTAGAAGGCTTAAAAGTTTGGCTTTGGAAGAGGAAGAAAATGGTATCTAAATACTTTCACTTTCTGAACCTTAAAGCTTGTTGGAAAATCTCAGCCCAAAATAAGTGGCTTACACTTTCAAATGAGCTGAGCACTAACCACTTGCTAATGTCAGGGAAAGTTTCAGGCGCTCAAATGTTTTCAAGATCAACTCTTTTTTTCAACCTCATCTTAGGCACTGACAACTTTGCCCTTTTTTATAACACTGTTTATAAAGTTAAGAAAATGCAACCTGCTCATTTTTAAATTTAATACTCATGTTTTGAAATGAGTATTGTTTTCAACCATCTGGGAAACACCATTGCAGCACATGTAGACCATGTAACGTCAGGCCTTGTAATCAATATGATCATTTGCAACCCTGTTAAGTGGTTGTAAAATGCTACCTTTCTGACTTAGTCCTGTTTCAAACTGTGCGGGCCGGCTCCCGGTCCCGCCCTCACCAGGCGCGAGCCGGGCCCGTCTGTGTGCACGCGGGCTGTGGCCGGCAGCCCGGGCACGC